TCAGAATCTTTGATATATGCCACTGGTGGAATGTTGAGTAAGGCAAGTTGTCCACGTGTTAGACCAGGATTTCTACACAATAACTGCAGTGTTGACTGGGACTCTGACTTGACACTGGAGGAGGTGGAGCTCCCTGTTGACTGAGACTCTGACGTGACACTGGAGGAGGTGGAGCTGCCTGTTGACTGGGACTCTGACGGGTCACTGGAGAGGGTGGAACTGCTTGTTGACTGGGACTCTGACGTGACAATGGAGGAGGTGGAGCTCCTTGTTGACTGGGACTCTGACGTGACACTGGAGGAGGTGGAGCTCCTTGTTGATTGGGACTCTGACCAGGATTCTGGGGTGGTGCATATTGGTACTTATATTCTTGCAGTCTTTGTTGGTATGTCTTTTCCCATTCATTATGCACATACTTATAGGAAGAACAATGCATGCTCCATTTCTCAAGCTTGCAATGGGATATTCATATCTTGGGTAATCCACCCCAAAAATCAAGGTCAATTAACTATCCATTTGTGACATCCACCAAATATCTTCACTGGTCCGAATCTTCTTTGTTAAACACTTTCAAAAATACTTAATATATGACAACCCTGTATGACAGCAGCAGTTGCTACTTGGAGATAATTTAAATTTCTAGGATTTTTTTTGTTTTAACTCCATACATGAACAGTTTGTAAAATAGATCATTATTTTTTAAAAATAATTTATGTTATTAAAAAATAGAAAACCAACTTGGGTGTTTGATAAATAAATGTAGTGGCACTTACAACATAAATTGGAAACAAACTTGAACATGTACTTTATTCAACACTGACTAGAGTTAATTTTCAAAATGGCTATTTCCCATAGTCTATTTTCAAAATTAATGCTCAACTCTGTTCCACTTTATGTCAGAAATCATCTTGCACATTTTAGGATCAAAATGACTAAATGAATGATTGCTGTCATGTTTCATAACTTTTATTATATCTTTGATGGCTGCTCTTAGTTTTTTATTTGTCCCCTGACTTGATGAAATGCCTTCTGAAATATCATGGGATGTTGCTCTCAAATAGAGTTGCCTGTGAACCTTGTGCCTTGATTCAAATCCCTGAGTTGACATGGCACCAATGGATCGATGGTTTCTCAGCAGTATGAGGCATGCTCAATGGCCATGTGCCTATAATCTCCTGTCCCAAGGTTCAAACCAAAGACCTCCCGTAGGAGAAAGTCCCATTCTTTGCATTGTGATGAACAAAGTAATATAACGGAACATAACTCACTTAGTGTTCCCATTTTGTAACATCAATCTTAATGTGCAGCATACCCGAGTGTCAAATAAATAAATTGTTCCTCATCTTTCTTGAACAATTTCTTTCTCATTACCAGAGTAATGTCATTCCAACCAGAAAAGAGCTACAAAAATACACATTCATATACAATTTAAATTTAAGGAACCAATAATAAGACTTTGGAAAAAAATTCAAGTACAACACCCCATAGGCAAGGTAAGAGTACAACGGCTTGTTTTGAAAAGCAGTTCTCTAAGCTTTTGACAAAACTAAAGTGGATTACAGTGACCACAACCATTCTATCTTACCCTTACAGTATAAGATCATTTCGAGTGAGGCTAGCATCATCAATGCGCAAACCTCAAAACCTGGAGTATCATTTGCCAACTATCATTTTAACAGCCATCAATCAAAGAACTGAAATTGAAAATGTGCAATTCTTATTTTGAACTAGAAATTTTCTAAGTTCCTAATCAGAAACGCGGCTCAGAAGAAAATACGGAAGGCGAAAAAGTATAAAAAACGTATGGGCTAAAAGCACAAAATATCTTTAATACAGCCTGTGTGTTAGCGGATCAAGAATGTTTGCAGCACAATTTGGGACTTTTTTATATGACAGCATAACCTGAAATAAAAATCTTACTTTAAGCTTGATTGGAGGTGTTCTTTTTAAATTTCAAAATGACAGATCACAAAGCACACGAAGGTTATAAATCGCTGAAATAGCAAAAAGACGACAAGAGAAAAAAAAAATTTTGTAGTCATAAATATTGTTTAATTATTTTAGCCAAAACCCGAAACTAAATTTTGGGTCGTTTTACTCTTCTTGAATACCGAAGCGCCGCCGTCTTGAAAACGTACACATCACACACATGCGCAATGTGCTACTTCAACACCGCTGACAACACTTGGTTAGCGTGTTTTTCTCGCGATGCTAAACAATTTTCTTCGATTTAAAATCTCCATAAAGAAAGAAATTTATGGTTATTTTCAGTTACAGTTAATTTGTTGATGGCTATTGAAATGCTAAGCAGCGAATGATACTTCAAACTTCAAGGGCCGACACTTCTATGAGAACAATCGATAAAGAAAATAAAGTCAATTTCATAGCTGTTCTCCGATGTCCATTGATCACCATACAAAACAAATACCACAATCGAGATTTGATTTCAGCGCAAATGAAAATACCCCAATTGAGATTTGCGCTATACAAATTCAATAAACTATTATTATTATTATTGATTTTTATTATTTTCATGTTGAATAATGTTAAAAACAAAACTATTGAATTTACCTTCTCTCCTAAATTTGAAAATAGAGAGAGAAGTTTTTCATTTTCTAATATTTTTCTATTATTTATTTTTATTATTTTCATGTTGAATAATGTTAAAAACAAAACTATTGAATTTACCTTGTCTCCTAAATTTGAAAATAGAGAGAGAAGTTTTTCATTTTCTTTCTCGCTTTCATCTTCTATGGTGCTTTACAACGGAGGCCGTGCTTTGAGTCCAAAATGTATTTCACCTAAGCGCAAGAAACCATAGATTAGTTCACATGTAAACACATGAACACCCATTCTTTAGGTAAGTTACCTCCTTAAGAGAAAGATTGAGCTTCTTGTCTTTTTTAACTTGTTTGTTTCGTCGTTCCGAGCAATCTTTTCTAAGGGTTCTTTGCCATGCCAACTGTAGGCTCTTGAGTCGCTGGATGGCTTCCTGAAAAATGAGGAAGTTGATTAGAGAGATAGTGAAATCAAGACATGGTAAATAGCTCTAATAGTTACCGCTTCATGTACGTTGAGATCTAGCATCCTGAATTGCAATAAAAGCACTCCGTGGAGCAGGAGTATACCTTGAGTGTGGTCCCGGCTTTTATTATTTTTGCAGTTCCATCTCGGTGTGGTTGGAAAAACCGGGACAGCACTCTATCTGGGTCCGCAATGGCGTCCAGAATGCAATCGCCACCATCAGAGCATATTTTGGCTACGTTCTTCACCTGAAAGGGAAAAGTGAGATGTGTTATCTAATAAAGTTATTACTATTACTATTACTATCATTATTATTGTAGAAGTGAGTTACCTTTGCGGCGTCTTCCTTGGCATGTTCCAGAGACATATGCCCTCCGTGCAAGGTTTGTCTAAATACCAAGTAGGCCGAGAGCATCCCCTTCATGGTGTTGGTGGTTGGGGCTTGCTCCCTTCCCCTTGCCCTTCTTAACCGAGGAAGAAATGCCGAGATGCCGGACATCTCATCCTCTTCGTGCATGGTTTCTTCATAATGAGAGCCAGACTGAGAATGACTCAGGCTGAAAATAAGAGTCACTCTCAAGGTCTGTCTCAGGCATTGAACTAGGAAAGATGGAGGTTACCACAGCATGGCTAAAAGGCAGAAAAATAGTGGTCATTTGTTTCATTAACACGTTCTTATGCTATTATATGCATACCTTTTCTTTTTTGCTGTTGGTTTGAGACGTTGTTCGGCTTCTGAGTCATTGTCTGAAGGGGTAACCAAAGCATGGATGAGAGGGAGAGAAACAGTGGTCATCAATCTTGTTTCATTAACAAGTTATTATGTTGTTATATGCGATTTCTATTTTTGGCTGCTGAAACCCCCGGAAAAAATATTTATTTATTTATTAGTTTCGCCATATATTAAACTGGAAATATAATATAACTGAAAATAATAATGTGATATATATGACAGGGTGACTGCAACAGCGTTAGGCCAATTACTGCGGGCCCAAAATAATGTCTTAAGTGAAACTTAGTGCATAAAGATAATTTAAGTAGATATATTGACACATTTGAACAACAGAAGGTAGAAAGAGTGAGGCTTCTGCAAGAATTACATTTTAAACAAACTGTTTTGAAAGTACGTGGGAGTAGAGGTTTCTAGTATCTCCATCCCAATCTCACTCTGGCCACAAAGATCTTTCTTAACATTATCTGGCACAACTACTTTGGTCACCAGGTTGAAAAGGTCATCACTCTCTTCGGTGAAGGGGTGGGATAATCTTTTAATGGTGGTCGTCAGCTGTTTGATGTTCTTTTCTTCTCGTACTAATACAGATGTTGTTAGACTGTGGTGTTCCCCCGTCTCCTTCTGCTTCCACAGTGCTGCCATGTTCTTTGCTTCCTTAGCTAGCATTGCCATTTCCAGAGCGATGAGAAAGAACTTATTGCGTGCGTTTGGCCATCATCTTGTTCCTCCACAAGAGTCCTAATTGTTTCTTCCCGCTCTTTTTTTTTCTTAGGTTAAACATTTTTTAAATCACCAAATGACTGTACTTTCATGAGGCAAAATAAAATGTTGCATTTAGGTGTTTAGATAGAACTACTTACCTGTCTTAGACTACGCGCTGATGGAGGCTTTTCTTCGCGAACTTTTGTTATCGTGGGGAAGACAACTATCCCTACGCCGTCTTTTTTCAAACGTGGAGAATAGAATTTGGTGTTTGGTATCTCCAAAGCGTATCTCTCAAAGTCATTAAAAAGAAAGTGATCGGAACACACGGCCGACAGTTTAGTTGCTTTCCAGTGCTTTCTTGTTTTCAAGACGAAGTCCGTCCATTTTTTTCTTCTTTTCTTGGCCTCTGGGCGCTCATCAGCGAAAAAAGGAATACTCCCTTTTCGAGTTCACCGCTTTTGTTTGGAACACCGCTGAACAACCATATAGCGGGCGTATATTTCGATTGAAAGTGAGGCTAAGACTGAGCACGCTTCACCTTATATAAAGCGAAGAGCATATCAAGAAAGCAAACAAACGTCAAAAACAACCCGTTTCGCTGATTTTTCTTGCAATTATTGCCTCAGAATTACATCGTATCAGATGCCAGATCCTCATAAACGAACATTTTCCGAGAAAAAGCGACAAAGCCGCGGCAAAGAATGTGTTGCTGCTGAGTGCGATAGCTCAGTACAATCAGGATGGCAGCAGCTCGGGAATCCATTTCTTTAAATTTCCAATGAAGACTCCTCAGCGAAATAGATGGTGCAACTTAATAAAACGCCAGCATGGTCGGGTTGGATTTGCAGTCAGTAATTTCACATTCATATGTGAAAAACATTTCAAGCCACAAGAAATATACAAGCCGCCTGGGGGTACGAGAAGACGACTCAAAACAGGTTAGTCATGTGCTATACTATTAATTGATTATATTTCTTGTGGGTTTTTTTTGAAACATATTTTGCATTCAAGCTTAAGTCATTATTCATTATTCTTAACTAAGGAGTTGAACCAACAATTTTCAAATGGCAAAGTAATTCCCCGAAGACAAAACGACGTTCCCCTAGACGAAGACTAGAAACTGAGCTTAAGGCAGTTCCCCTGAAACCAACCACTACAGAACGTTTCACTGCAAATAATGATCAAGAATGTCAAGTGGCCACAATGTTTGACCAACATATTGCTATTGGAACAAGTGAAGATACCATGGAGTGCTTTGACAACATAGAGTATTATGAATATACACAGGTATTTAATAATTATGAAGCTTTTCATAGGTTTTATTTTCCTTATGATTTCATAGAAGTCATAAACTCACGATTTCTTTTTCAGAAAACAAGTTAACTAACGTGATAAAAAATGATAAAACTTATATGTTTTCCATTTTTCTATATTTCCTTCTAGGTTCCAGCTTTCAAAGAAGAGATAGCAGTTCAAACACACTTATCAAATACAGAAGATAAAGCAGTGCAAACAGATGAATCAGATCACACAGAATCAACTACGAGTATAGACCACTCATATTCATTTCCATTTTGCACAGCCAAAACATATGCTGAGCAAAAAGGTTATGTTCGGAGACTTGAAGCTAAAATTGAGGATCAAACTAATATCATCAATCAACTAAGATGTGACATTGGTAATTTACAAAAGAAACTCAATGGATACGATGAACATAAATTCAGTCTGGAGAAGTACAAAGATGATAACAGTGCTATTCAGTTTTACACAGGTTTTCCCAATTTTGAAGCCTTAATCTCTGTTTTTGATTACCTGGAACCAAAAGTAAACAAACTTCAATACTGGGGAAGTAAGAAGATTTCTGAAAGCAGGGCTTATCAACAAGATGGAAAACAAAAACCTGGTCCCAAAAGAAACCTAACTGCTTTTGAAGGATTTTCAATGGTTCTAGTGAGACTTAAGATTGGTCTTTTTGTACGAGATCTCTCAGATAGATTTGGCATTTCACAAGGTCACTTTTCTAAGATATTTAGCACATGGGTTAATTTTTTGTTTTTGGAACTCAGACAATTGTTTCCCTTCCCAACTCAAGCCAATGTATTCAAAAACATGCCTGTGCAGTTCTCACGTTACCCTAAAACACGTGTCATCATCGACTGTACAGAAGTCTTTGTTGAGGTGCCATCAGCAATGCAAGCCCAATCAGAAACCTGGTCTAATTATAAACACCACAACACCTTTAAGGTTTTAGTATGTATTTCTCCTAATGGCCAGGTAACTTTTTTGTCAAAACTATGGGGTGGGCGAGTATCAGATAAATGTATTACACAAAATTCAGGTCTTTTAGAACTCCTTGATAAAGGTGACAATGTAATGGCTGATAGGGGTTTCGACATAGCTGACATTTTGCCCCCTGGAGTATCTCTCAACCTTCCACCATTTAAGGGCACTAGGGACCAACTTACAGCATCAGAAGTAGAAGAAACAGCTAGAATAGCTGCAGTGAGAATACATGTGGAAAGGGCAATAGGGAGAATCAAAAATTATCATATCCTTGATGGAACTTTACCAATAAGTCTAGCACATGTAGCAAACCAGATTTTTAGTGTGTGTGCATACTTAACAAATTTCTTACCACCTCTTCTGCCTCCAGGCAAGAAAGATTAGATTTATTCTTAACCAGTCCAACTGAAACAACATTTTAATCTTTAGTTGACTATAGACTAAGTAACTAGATATACTATTTTCAAGAATGTGTTTGTTAAACTATCACAAACATAGCATATCATTTTTGGTTTCCCAGGTGAATATTGCCTTTACTCTATTAAATATTTGTCAGAAAAATTGATGGAATTTCTGGTTAAAAATTTAAAAAAATTAACAAGCTGAAATCTTGGCACTCATGCTTGGTGGACTATTATATTAGTATTTTAATTTATATATTGATAAAAATTTATTGATGACGTCTTGCAATGTGAAAGTATTATCAAAATAAAGTCATATTCTTAAATAATGAGGACTAGGAATCATTCCTAACTGCAATTAAAGTCCTCGATCTGGTTTCTTCAGTTTTCTGTAGCTTGACCAACCACCATGCAGGTAGAGGCTGACACCTCTCTCTACCCTTCTGGTAAGAACCTCTGGATAAAATGCACTTGTATGAAAATAATCCAAAGCAGGTAGGGCCTCTTTCAACCACCAATCTCTGTCAAATGAGATCCTTTCAACAAAAAGTACGTCATTTCCAAACCACACTACAAAGTCAACCCAATCAAGTTCGCAAACAAACATCTGACCTTGGACTTGATAATAATATGCATGTCCCTTGTTAAGCCCAGGTTGACTATCATGAATAGTGAGGTAGAATTTATCATCTTGACAGGCTTCATCTACTGTCATTCCTCTTTTAGCATAAGGGCATTTCACCTCCAAACCTCCTTTCTTAGTACTTGTCAATGGGTCATAAACCATTCTATCCAAGCTTGCACCGAAGCCAGGCCTTTGTTTTGATATCATAGTTCCCACTTCCCAAATACGCAATCCATTATTCCCAGCCATGCATTTATAAGCAATATAACAGTCAACTGCCTCTTGTTCATGAGTCCTACCATACTCCAATGAAGGAATAGTAGTACTGTCATTTTCAAGGTACATTATCCTCTTAAGTAAGGCATCAGGCTCTTTTACCCTGATTGCTGCACTCTTGAAATTGGATGCTGTAAGTTTGATTCTCTTGAGATTATGCCATTCCTCATTTTCACTTTGTCCCCTTGTCAATGACTCCAAATCGGAAACTTCTTCATCTGTTATTGTCTGAGCACTTACATGTAAGTCAATCATTTCTTTGAACTGTTTACTGTTAATGTCATAAGAGTCATTGAATGGTACAGGCTTTTCCTCACTACTTTCTGCAGAAACCTCAGCACATTCTGGTACTGTTTCACAAATGCTTTCTATTTCCACATCCTTACAGTTTGGCACTACCTTTGATT